AAGGTAAATTTCCTCTATTATTGGGAAAACATCTAGCTTGTTGATTTCAACTATTTATCTAGTTATCTCTCCATCTATCTAATATCCATCCACCCATCCATTTGTCTATCTGTCTTTCTATCTATCTGCCCCCTAACTTCTCAGCTCCAGTTTCTCATCACCAGCTGACTTTTGAACATCTTGAACTAGATATCCTGTAGACTCAACCCGTCTCAACCAAACTCAACCTGTCCAAAACAGAATTCATTATCTTACTCTCTCCCTACACCAAATCTTCCCCTCTTCTATTCTTCCCTATTACTGTGGAGGGCATCACCATCCTCCCATTCACCCAGACTTACAACCTTTACGTGATCTTGTATTTCTCTATTAGGTGGATTCTCACTTCACATATCTAACCTGTTTCTAAATCTTGTCATTTGTTATCTTCACAACATCTCTAGTTTACGCCTCCTTTCCTCCACTTGTACAACCATAAACCCTAGTTCAGGTCTTAGTTACCTCTTGCCTGGATCATTGCAATAGCCTTTTAATTAGTTTCCCTACCTCAAATCTCTCCTTGCTCCGGTCCATTCTTTGTGAAGCAGTTAAAGTGATTTTCCTAGAGTGCAAGTCTGACCATATCACACACGCCTCAAGCCCCAGTGAGTTCCAGTAGCTTTCTATTACCTTGAGGATTAAATATAAACTCCTCTATTTGGCATTTTAAGCTAATCATAACTCTGGTCCCTTCCTACCTGTCCAGTTTTGTCATACTTTAACTTACTCCCTTTCAGGCTTTCTATAGTCTAGCTATACCAGGCCACTTGCAGTTGTGCAAACACAACCCTCTAAGTCTCATTTCCACACCTTTGCATTTGCTATTCCTCCAAAATACCTGGAAGGCTTTGCCCCCTCACATCCATCTCTCAGCTTCCCAGGCTTCCTTCAAGACTCAGCTCAAATCCCGTTTTCCATAGGAAGCTTTTCCCAATACCTCCAACTGCTAATGCCTTCCTGCTTTAGATTCCCTTCTCTCTTCTCTGAATATTTGTTCTATAAACCTAGTTTTCTGTATGTTTTTTCCCTCATTAAAATGTATACTCCTTGCAAGCAAGGACCATTTTTGTCTTTCTGTACATACTCAGCACTTAGTACAGTGCCTGGCACAAAGTAAGCATACCATGTTCAATAAATGCTTATTGACTTACTGACTGATCATTTAGTAGTTATGTATAACTGTCTTTTTCTCCATAGGATTTGTGGGAGGGGGAAAGAGGGGGGTGGGGAAGAATAATTGTTGGTAGAAGAGAAGATAGGGGCAGGAATGGATCTTTTTACTCCCTACCAGTTTCTTTTTTATTTACTTTAATACTTCAGAAGATCTGTAATTTAATTGGTGTGCTTTGATGGATGGGATAGGCCTCACAACTTTTCTTTGCCTTAGATCAGAGCTTTCTAGACTATGGAGCTTGAGGCCCTTTGGGGGTGAGGGTGGGGGTGGTGTGAAGCAATAGTAAAAATTATTGGGTATGCTAGAGTATAATTCCCACATGAATATATGCACTTTTTTCAATGAAAACAAAGTTCAAATCAAAGTCAACAAAAATGAAACTAACACAGCAAATTCCGGCAAACTAACAGAGAATACAGCTGAGCGAATATTTAATATGGTATGTACAAACAAAGGCAAATTTGAGTTGGCTAGCTTTGACTCTCCACACAGGCGAGCTCTGCCACCAAAACTATCAGCTAGCATAGGTTTATGATACAGATAAGCTGTGTCATGAAAATTATTTGTGAAGATTGTTCTATAAACATTGTGTCTGGACATACAATGATTTTTAGTTTAAAAATGGGGCATCACTACAATGAAGTGTGGAAATCTTTGTCTTAAGAGATGATCTCTATGAATTGCTTTGGTCAAAAAAAAATGTATCACCTTGTGGTCAAATCCTCTGGAGGTCAGCATCCCTCAAACTAGTAAGACTGGACCTCAGTTGGCAGTCCATCTTCTGCCCCCATATTAAAGCCTTTTTAGCTTAGTAGGACATTGCCTTCAAGAACCTGGGGTTATCTCCTTGATGAAGCAAGCATCAGGACAGGAGTTTATCAGAGGTTCCCTTTAGTTTACTTGTAGTAAGAAGTCCTCTGAAGTTCACAAAGAATTCTATCTGATCTGTTTTGCAGTAAGCTGGGAAAAGAAAGAAATCTTGCTTGTTAACAACAGGTAATGTTAGTATAAAGGATAACAGATAGGCCAACTCCCTGAGGCCTAAATAGGAAAAGAAAGATGGTGGCTAGGAGACCAAGAGGAATCAACATAACCATAGTACAAAGAGTGCTGGGACTGGGAGTCACAGGAACTGGTTTCAAATCCTGGCTCTACCCCCCTACCTATGTGATGTTAGACATGGCATTTAACCTCTTTGGGAATCAGTTTCCTTGCCTATAAAAATGAAACGGATGGACCAGATGACTTTGAAGGTCCCTTAAGTCTGATCCTTCAATGGTGATTCAAGGATCAAGGTTTATATTGCAGGAGGCCCTGGTATCTCTCATAGTTCCTCAGGCCTGCCCACATGGAGGACACAGTCGTCCCTTAATTCCAGTTCCTTACTGTGCTGGATGGATACTACTGGAAGCCACAGCAGCCACCACCAGTGATTTGAAGATGTGCAGAATACAATAAATTCCTCAGTGTCTGACAGATAGGGCAAGCCCCACTGCAAGGAGGGATAGAGGAAGTGTATTCTGGGAAATTGAAACTATTAAGCTGAATATTTTGAATGTGAGGTAGCATGGTGCACCGGAAAGTATCCTGAACTTGGATTCAAAGAGAACTGGGCAAGATAGCACTCTTTTTCTCAGCTTTAGTTTCCTCATGTGTAAAATGAAGGGGTTAGAGGAACTGTGGGGAACATAACTTGTGCAGATCTAAATGCTTTGATTCCAAATCAGCTAATTTCTTATCTAAAATGGAGAAGAAAATAATGACAAAAATGAGGTATGCAAACTAAAAGGAAAATCTTGTTTTTTAGTGTTTGTATTTAGCTTGTTTTTTGAAGGAAGAAGAGGACTTCAGAGAAAAGTACAGGAAATGTGTCCTTGAAAATCATCATTTTTGTATGTTGTGACTATGCAATGAGCAGTTTTCACTAAAGTCTTCTCTGATGCCTCACTGTGGCATGGAAGCGTCCCTCGGTTCTCAAAAGCTATTCCAACAGAGCAGACTTTGCTAGGTTCTATGAATCAAAGGAAGAAGAGGGTGGGAGAAGAGTAGGGGTGAGGAGGGAGGGTAGTTCTAATAACTGGTGAAATCAAGGTTTCCCCTAACAGCAGGAGTTGAGCTTTGAAGGAAAAGAAAGATTCTAAAAGGTAGAGGAGTTTAAAGAGTCTACAAATATTTACTAAGCACTTATGTGACAGGCACTGTTTGCCTAAAAACTTTGCATCCATCTCAGATATTACACAGGAAAATTTTTGAGCACAGTTTTGGTAAAGGACTAGCCTAGATAAATTTGGATAATCTCATTACCAGAGTGAACACAGACTGATTAATGTTTTTGGCCACACCAACTCTTGAAGATTCCCTACTAAGGTGTGGAAGGTTATGATCTGCAAGCCAGAGAGATTAACAAGGAAATCACAGATGCTTTGAAGTGATGTCATTCACATCAATGATTAAATTCATGAATTACTCTTTTATTCACATTTGCAATTCCAAAAGATAACTGCTAAAGCCTTGTTTTAAGTAATGATTGATTCAATTTAACAAACATTAAAAGGGTTTACTAGATCCAAAACCTTGTGTGAGAACTGAGGGAAATACACAGTATCCCAAAAGTCTTAGTATGGTTTTAACCAAAGTACAAAGGTCCTTCCCTTTGCTCATGGCCCTTGCTTTTCTCATGAAAAGAGAAGTTTTCATACCAAAGTGTTTAGCAAGTTTCACTATCCAGTTAAGTGTAGTGTAAAGGTTACTGACCAAATCAGAAGACCTAGATTACCATTGTGCCTCAGTCACTTACTGGCCATGTGACTAAGAGTACATCTCAGTTTTCTCAATCCATAAAATGGACCTCCATCATACAACATACTTCACGGGATTTTTGTGAAGAAAGGCTTTAGCACTCGAGCTATATAAGTGCAAGGTATTACTTAAATTAAAATGGTCTTGTGAAAAGCAAATAGCTTAATTTATTAATAGTCTATAATTAAGGGAGAATATGCTGAGTAAAGGATTTTGTTTTTTTGCTTGAAGTGCAAACAAAGGCTAGTTTCTAAATTTGCTCATTGCTGTTTATCGTTTAAGCCTGAATTCCTTTAAAAAAAAAAAAACTTGATATATAGGGCTTTAAGTCAGTGGCTGATTTAAAAATTTTAAATGTACCACCCCCTTCTTCCCCGCATCTAGTGGTACTCAATAAAGATGACTTTAGCTGAAGCTTTTTGTAAGGACAGAGGGATGGGTCTTCATGACCTTTCAAAGTCATTTCCGGAATTTCATAATATAGCCCAGTCCCCTAGATGCCGAAAGTCTAATGGTTCTTCTCGGTGACTCAGTAGCCCTTTGGACCTGGAGAGTACCCAGAAAACTGGGACTGTGTTCGGTACACCTGGCACTCCTAGTGCCACGCCCATCCAAAGGTAAAGATCCAATCCGAAGGCAATATAAGAGGATTGACTTGCTTATCGAGCAATAGCAGCCTGCAATAGTGGGTGGCCGTTCCATCCCCCCGAGTCCCCGCCTCCCTTTCATTCTGAAAGAAAGGATCTCTGCTGAGAAGTCCAATGAGAAGCGTAGAGCCCGAGAACGACGTCTTGAACCCCGCCTCCCATCCACCGCCCCTCCTCCCTGACCCCGCCCAAGTCGGGCTCTGAAGGCTTCTGGAGGAACAACACACCAATCGGAGAGCGTCCTGTATCGGATTGACAATAGCCCGCCCAATCCCTTGGGCCGAAGCGAGGGCGACACACGCCCCTGCCTGTACCCCTCCATCCCTCCCCCCACCCCCTACCTTCAGCGGGGGGTCGGAGCTGCTCGCTGGGAGCCAGTGTGGGGTTGGGAGCGGGCGGTGGCGACGACTGCCTCGGGCCCCGGTCACTGACTCAGGGACTCGAGTCTGAGTCTCCGTCAGCTGGGATTTGCAGGCCGCCCGCAGCCCGGCTTCGCCCCCGTCGGTCCCCCTCCTCCGCCCGTCCGGGGGTCGCCGCGGCAGCTCCCCGCTAGCGGCCGCGCCCCTGGGCCGCCTCCGCCCCGGGCCGGAGGAGCGGAGCTCCCCTCCCCCTCGGTCGTGGGGCCGCCCTCCCCGAGGGCGGGCTGGGGTTATTCCGATGGCCCCCGGCTCCTAGCCGGGGGAGGAGGGGGCTGGGCGCCTTCGGGATCCGGGCTCAGCGCGGCGGCGGCGGCGGCGGCGGATGCAGACGGCCGCGGGGGGGCCGTGAAGGGGCGGCCGCCGCCTCCCGCCCCCGCCGTCCCCGCTTCGCTCAGTCCGTCCTCTCCGCGGCCGGCGGGGCCATGTCCGGGGTAGTGAGGACCCTCAGCCGCTGCCTGCTGCCGGCCGAGGCCAGCGGGCGGGAGCGCCGGGGCGGCGGCGGGAGCGGCGGCGGCGGCGGCGGCAGCCGGGACTCGGAGCGGGAGGCCCGGCGGCGGAGCCGGGAGATCGACGCGCTGCTGGCCCGGGAGCGCAGGGCGGTGCGGCGCCTGGTGAAGATCCTGCTGCTCGGGGCCGGCGAGAGCGGCAAGTCCACCTTCCTGAAGCAGATGCGCATCATCCACGGCCGAGAGTTCGACCAGAAGGCGCTGCTCGAGTTCCGGGACACTATCTTCGAGAACATCCTCAAGGTGAGGCGGGGGGCGCCGGCCCGGGGGCACGGGGAGGGGCACGCGGGGGTGATGCTCGGGCATCGCCCCCGCCCATCCCCCGCTGGGGAGAGTGGGCTGTGCCAGCCTCCCGCGGGTCCTACCTGTGCAGGTGAGGTCTGAGCGCCCTCCAGGTGCGTGGGACAGTGATGGGGGGGCGGGGACTGGGCTGGGCCCGCTGTGGCTGCTCCATCGAGGATTCTCCAGGGACGTGTTATTCTCCCTCTGAGGGAACAAATGAAGCATTTATTAAGCACCCACTTTTTGCTTTAGAAGTCCTCACCACAACCCTGGTAAGTAACATAAGGATCCATTTTATAACTGAGGCACAGAGTTTAAGTGACTTGACTAGGGTCATGCAGCTAGTGGCTGCCTTTGAACTCAGGCCTTCTGGACTAGACTTCTCAAAACCGGGGGCCTCCGAGTTATACTAGACTGAGTGCTGGATTTGGCGAAGGGTCAGGAAGACGAGGGTTCGAATATGGGCTCTGACACTGTTTAAAAACAACAGCAGGGGAATTCCAGAGGCAAGTTTTAAGTTGTGTGACCACGGGCAAGTCACTTTTAACCTTTCTAAGCCCCAGTCTCCCAATTTGTAAAATGAGGATAGTAATATCGCAGATTCACCTCGTCGAGTTGTGGGGATCAAAAGAAGTAATGAATAAGGTGCATTGCAAGCTTTAAAACGCTATGATAAACATCATTTATTTATGTTCCATTTTTGTCTGTCTCCTAGTATAATGCCCAACTTATAGTAGGCACTTAATACTTAGTGAATTGAATAGAAACTGAATTGAAAGTGCATGTGGTTACTTTTGTTTGGGGGTCTGTAAGGAAACCTGACGTCCTATATTTTATAACTCAAACTTTCTTTTTTGCCATGGCCAAAAAGTAGTCTTTTCTTTCACTATCCTGATCATTTGGGGATACTGTAGTGTGGATGGTAAATCTGGCCATTTTGTGCATTTGGTATGTTGATCTTAGGGGTTGGAGAGACCACGACTGGACTTCTAAAGGAAAAACCACATTGGGAACTTGGGGTAGCAAACCGCTGCTTGTTGGCTGCTTACTTTAGAAAGTTGCTGTATGATGTCTGTGGTTTTCCCACTCCACCCTTTAGAGTCTTCAGTCAAAGCTGATGAGGAGGAAGTTGTTCTTGCTCTTTTCAAGAGTGTGCAATCAGAAGAAAAATCCCCAAATCTGTTTTAGTGTTATCCAGTGTTAAAAAATGGTCACAGAGAACTTTGGGGAAGTCATTGAGTGGATGCAGAGTTAACCATCTTTCTCTACTTAGGCAAAATCATTGGCTTACTTTTTCTCTCCTGGTCAAAAGAGGATAGTTTTCAGGCCTCAAAATTGTCTTTTTTGCTCATTGTGGAAGTAGGGGGAAGGGAATGGGAACATAGACCTGAGGACTCAGAAGCATTGCGAAATGAGTTATTCCAGGGAACTAGCCTGGTGTCCTGGAGGCTATGGATTTTATCTTGCATTTAAGATTTTAGAACTAGACATGTCTTTAGAGGTCGTTTAGTTTAATCTTCTCATTTCACATATAAGGAAACTGAGGTCTAGGAAGACTGACCTTCTGAAGGTCAGTCTAAGTGGCACAGCCATGTCTAGAATAGGTCTCCTGACTAGTTCAGTGATTTTTTCACTAGATCATGTTGTTTTCCTTTGTAGACGTGTTAGAAAAGTTTAGAAATGCATAGGAAAAAAGAAAAAGTAAAACTGGCAAATACCCCTTTTCTTCTTTCCCCCCTTTTTCAGAAGACTAAACGTTCAATTCAGAACTTTCACAAAGTATTTAAATATCAAGGCTAGTTGTTTCTAATTTGGTAGGGATTGAGTGTGTATTTGGAAAACTACCATTTACTTCTAGGAAAAATGCATTTGATTTTCTTTTCTGGCCAAAACTGTTGTTTGCCGTTTAACAGTCATATTCAGTATAAATTATGCCTCCTTCCTGAATTGAAAAAACAAGATCATGACATTTGATTTAGGTTAAGGAACTTACCATCTCTCAGTTTCTTTAAACTCAGGAGGCCACTGGCAATATAAATATCATAAATATGACTGTTAAAAGTAAATAAGGACTCTTGAAAATCACAATTACAATTTTAAATGAGTTTAGATAATCTAGTCTTAACCTTTACCAATGCATATAAAACATTAACTTTTACTTTTGTTAACTTTAGCTGCTTTTAGCAGAAGACCTGTTAACCACACAGGTCTTTCCTTCCCAACTTTTATGTAATTGTAGTTCCATCTTAAATTAAACTTTAGCTCAGCGGTGTAGAATTCTACTTTGAATTTAGAACACAATGCATGGGACATGTCTCATTGCTGAGAAAGAGATGTTTTTTAAAGCTTTCAACAGTGGTTTTGCAGTTATTCAGAATAATATGAGTGTTTGCAAATACTGTCGGAATTGCTGTGACTGAATTATCTAGGTATTTCAAAGGAACAACTAATTTGATTTTTTCCCCCCTACTACACTGAATCAGCTGATTTTGTGAATGTCATGTAAACCTGACCTGAGTCTATCTGCTTGTCTTCTTTTTATGCTATCATAAGCAAAATCCTCTCTTTTTAAAGAACTTTTTAAGGAACATAATGCCTAAAAGTGAATGAATTGATCTTATACAATTGACTTGGCTTTTTTTTTAAAATTAAGTTTTCTTTAATTCTGAGCTGTTTTTATAAGTGCATTTTCTCTTAAAGCATCTGTGTCACAGCATGTTCTAGCAACTTTGGGATAAAAAGCAACTGTTAAACTGTCCAGTACAATTTTTCAAATAACGGTTCTTACTGGTCCCTACTCAGACATAGCCCAGATAAAATTTGTGGTCAAAAATATGAAATAGATCCATCTGCTTTATTTTAAGCATGTTAAAAAGGAAACTTATTGGACTATTTCAATTTGCTTATTTTATGTAAAATATCTATACAGTGTAACACTTTATTCAGAATACAATTAGAGTGATTTTGAATTAGTGTTCTATACTATTACCGTATCCTTAAAAATCAGAAATTGCTGTAGTAGTATACACTATAACGTAACTCTTAAAGACTTAAGAAACTAACAGTTATTGCCAAAAAGCAAAAATGAAAACTTTTGTCAAAGCAAGCAAAGTCAATACCATTACATAGATTTTGATAGTTTTCTCCTCCAATATTTGTGTGAAAATAGGTTGAATTTGGCTTGGCAGTGAATTACCACCACTTTACAACTATATTTCATGTTAAATTTCAAGACTTTTTTTAAAATTGAATTTCCTTTTTATTATGAACCTATCATCAACAAATACTACCATTTCATTTTACAGAGAAGAGCTAAAAAGATTGTGTATGATATTGTGAACACTGGTTATGTAGTTAATTTTTAAGTATATAATAAATTTAATAAGGTAATAGCAAAATTGTGCTCTTTAAGTTTTCTTTTGAATTTTTTTCTAATTTTAAAAAAGTCTTACTGATAGTCTTTTTTTTTTTTTGCATCTCTCTCCCTACCCACTAACTCATCTAACCCTTTTGTAACAAATATGTAAAATCTGAAAATGCCTGAAAATGTCTCATTTTTTACCCCTAGGCCATCATCTCTTTGCTAGCAGGGAGAAGGTATGCTTGCTTCAGCATCAGTCTTCAGAATCTATGATTGGTCACTGTTTAAAGTCTTGCAGGGTTGTTTGTTTTGTTTTGTTTTGTTTTTTTAACATGGTAATCTTGTAAATTGTTCTCCTGGTTCTGCTTATTCAGCATCTGTTCATATAAATCTTCTCAAGTCTCTCTGAATGCTTCATAGTCATCATTTCTTTCAATGCAATATTTTGTTATGACCATGTACCATAAATTGTTAAAATATTCCTCAATTGATGGACATCCGCTTTGTTTTCAGTTCTTTGCTGCAAGAAAAAGTGTTCTGAGTATTTTTGCACATACCAATCATTTCTGACCTTTTAGGAGTATATGCCCATTAGTGGTATTGCTGGGTCAAAAGGGATCTGTATGTATGTTACACAAAGTGTTCAGCCATTCCCCAATTGATGAGCATCGCCTCAATTTCCAATTCTTTGCTGTCACAAAAAGAGCTGCTTTAAATATTTTTGTACATATAGGTCCTTTTCCTTTTTCTTTGATGTCTTTGAGGGTACAGATCTAGTAGTAGTATTTCTGGGTCAAAGGGTATGCACTCACTGTTTTATAGCTCTTTGGGTATAGTTCCAAATTACTCTCTAAAATGGTTGGATCAGTTCACAACTCTACCAGCAGTGCATTTAGTATCCCAGCTTTTCTACATCTTCTCCAACATTTGTCATTTTCATTTTTTGTGATATTTGCCAATCTAATAGATGTGAGGTGATATATCAAAGTTGTTTTAATTTGCATGTCTAAGTGATTTAGAGCATTTTTTCATATGACTATAAATAGCTTTGATTTCTTTGTCCAAAAACTGCCTGTTCATATCAATTGGGGAATGACTCATATTCTCATAAATTTGACTCAGTTCTCTCTATGTTGAGAAATGAGGCCTTTATCAGAGAAACTTGCTGTAACAATTTTCCCCAGTTTACTGTTTCCCTTCTAATTCTGGCTGCGTTGGTTTTGTTTGTGCAAAACGTTTTTAATTTGATATAATAAAAATTATCCATTTTACATCCTGTAATGCTCTCTGTCTCTTCTTTGGTCATAAGTTCTTCCCTTATCCTGAAATCTGACAGGTTAAATATTCTATGTCCCTCTAATTTTTGTAATTGTTTTTCTTATAATAATTTGCTTATAATCTTACCTATGATGTAGCCATTTTGACTTTATCTCTGTATGTGATGTGAAATGTTGGTCTATATATAGTTTCTGCTAAACTGTTTTCTGGAAAGCTAGAGAGTCTAAGAGATGAGGTGAAGAGTGAGTGAATTTCAGGAAATAGGGATGTGTAAAGGCACAAGAGAGGAGATGTTTAATTCAGGAAACAAGGTACTAGGCTA